CGTATAGTCGCCGCCAACTCCTCCATCAACGAACCTTTCTCTCAGCACCCATCTTCTTCTCAATACGACAGGGGCGCCCGCCCCCGACGGGGGGCGGAGAGAGAACCGCCCCGCCTACCGACGGCACATCCTTTTAACAGTTTCAGACGCCCAACAGTACACCCAATGCGGAGCAGCATGGTTGTGGACAAGTGTTACAGTATCCCGCCGCATCAAAATGGCCTAGGGCGGGCGGTGGGCTAACTTGTTCTGCCATATCGTCCAATGGGTTCTCCCTGTAAAAAATCGCGTAGCCTTACGGGAGGCAACCTGTGTTGGCCACCGATTGATTGGCAGCGCGCAATTTACGCCCCCCAATACGCGCTTGAGCTGTGCATCGAGGCCCGTTACGACCTGCAACAATACGTTGTACCTCATTGGCGTGAGGTGTGGTCGCTACACGCGGATTCACGCATGGCGGCCTGTTCCCCCGGGCCGGTCTTTGAGTTAACCCTTCCACATATCTGTTACGCGTCAAAATTGACCAAAGTTTTCGACCCATTCTGACAGCATAAAAATACCCCATACATCGGTCATGTCTCTCCAACCCTGAATTTGGTTACTTTTCCTGAAAGTCGCCCCAAAAATACACAAAAGTAAACATGTTATACGTGGATTTCTTTGTGGGTGGCTCACACATGTTGCTGCCGTACTTTGCTCGCTCGTTTTTTCTGGGTCCATTTGCACGGATCCAGTGAGAATGGGCATTTCTAAACCTCAGACGTCAAACAAGTCCAACATCAAACGGAAATCGGTGCTGGTCTAATAGGCCGACCTCTTTCGAAACTGTGAACACTGTATATTCTATGTCCTGTGTGCTACCGTTCTGATGGGACACATAGTGGTGACAGCATTGCGGCGCCGCGGCGGGGCGGCAGAGGAGCGCGCGGGGGGGCGCGGCGCCCGCGCGGCCCGGGGGCGGCCGTCCCGCGCGACACTGTCAGCCAACCAACTGCTTGCCCAGAGTTCCCCCGCAGGGGCGACCAGGCCCCTGCCTGGTCCTTGGGAGCCCACAGGGCGGGACACCGTCCGAACCACAGTCAAAATCAGTACCAACCACGCCGAAGGAACGCTGGTCATCTCTGGTCCCCACCGCCGGACCGGGAGAATGCCAACCGGACCACACGGTCTCAACAGGCACGTCACGACGCGGTGCCTTGACACTAGGACTCCTCGCACTGGCGCAACGCACCGCAAAAGCATTTTTCCATCCAAATAACATTGAATTGAATTGAAATCATGGCTGCGCACAATTTTCTATTAGATAGTTGGTTGAATGAATTTGAGGCTATATGCAACTGTAAGATCCAAGATCAGGATATAAATTAATGTCAGCTGCAAACTGAACAAACAACGATAATGTAAAACTAAGCAATGATGGTGCTTTGTCTGCTTTGATCAACATTAGTAACCTCCTCTAGCGATGCCAGGTTTAGTTGTATGTGTTACCACCTTTGTGAGAACACCCAAAACACAAATAGAAGCTTGCCTTGCCTTTACACCTCTTCATATTTTATGATGCCTGCATGTTCTGTAATCACATCCAAGAAAGTGCGTACAGAGAGATGCTCTGTATGTTGTGCTACAGAAATGTGGGTTAGTGCCCACACCAGTGCTAGAGAGTGTGTATGTGTGTGTGCATGTGTGTAATTGCTACAGCTGTTCTGTCAGGGGAGAGGGCCTTACAAGACTGCTGGTTGTGACAGAGGCGTCGGTACAGAGAGAAACATATGCTGCGTTTTTATCATAGCAGCACACTGACAAAAAATCCACACAACCCCCGTCAGACAAAATGGAATGACTGCATTTGCACACATTCTCTCAAATGAGGGTTCACATGCTCTCTCTCTCTCTCACACACACACACACACACACAGTGAACCGCACACTGCTTCATTTATCAGTGGTGCATTATTTATCTGCGGCGGCGTTGCTACTCCTCAAGGTATTTACAGCAAGGAATACATTAGCCGTGAAGAATGCAGGATTGGAAAGTGAATATTCCTACAGATTAATATGCACATCACAGCTCCTACTGGAATAAGCCAAAGCTGTACTGGTTCCACAGAACACAACTGGTCTCTGTAAAAGGTTTCATCAGATAGAGACATTCATCAGGAATGTGTCAATCAAGGATAATTGGTTTTAATCTGATCTAATCACTGCAGCGTTGTGTGAAAATATTATTAATTGGGGAGCTTCATCTTTCACTAGTAACAAGTCAGGGAATGACTAACATAAATTGAGGTAATTGGAGAAATTGGAGTATTGTAACCAAGAAACTGTCTCTGTGTAGAAACATCCCAACTATATCTTATGATGCGAATGCATGACAAAAGTATTTACCATCAATGCTGTTTGTGTTCCCTGCTCACTGCAGGAGACCTGAGTTATCCTTTCTGCTGGTAACACAACTGTCTGGTGCAGAAGTGCGATGCAACACATAATAAGTTGCGTTAAAAAAGACTGCTCCCAGGGCAGTCAGCACACTCATAACATTTCCAAAAGGTAATGAATGATAAATAAACGTGATGTTTATGAGTCACAAGTGCAACGCATGCTTCCACATTTTGGACTGGGAGATTCTCAAAGGCCACATAACCAAATTGAGGAAGTAAGGATAATTTTAGTATGGGGGAGGGGACCTTATTAAAACACATTTACAAGGGAAGAAAACACGGGCAGAAACATTGTGACGAGGAAACAACTGCCAATTCAGAGGGAGTACCCAGAGAAAGTGTAATGAGACACGTATCTAAAAGAATTATACATTATTTCATAATATCTCTACTGGAAAATAACTATTATTAATGCCTAAACTACTATAGTCAAAACTTTTGAAACTGCTGTAGGTCAGTGGTTCCCAACCCTTTTTTATCATTGAGACAACCCCTGACTCAGTGACATATTATATGGATATGTTTTATAATATATTCAATGCATAACAATAACAGTACAGAACAACTAATAATGTACAATGAACTGAAATAGTGAACACAGTAACTGTAGGTAGTTTGTGTAAAACAAGAGATTTGGATGAATTTTGAGATTATTTCCTGTAAATATTATATAGTGAGTTTTCTCTTTTTTTATGGTTTTAGGAACTATTCATACAATTCTATGTCTGTATTGTGTATTTTTTAAACAATCATACATTCTATCCAGTGAGTTAAAAAAATAGCTGCTGGTTAATAAATAGTCTATTAATTAATAATACAGTTTTCAGTACTGATGAACTTTGATTATCTCAAAATTAATCACAAAATAGATGTTAACTTGGTGCTGGTGTTACATAAAAAGTCTGCAGGCTTTAAATTCTGGGGACCAAATATATGTTCATAATGCCATGGCAAACCATATTGCAAATGTCAAGATATTTCAGCAAGACACACCAAGAGCTACACTGCCAACATGGTTCATAAAATACATACACTGGTTGCTTTCCCTTCCATTATCATGTCACCATGAAAAGGTGTAAAGATGATGTTTGATGTTTGTACTTGCTCCAAATGTACACCAGATATGACGCATCAGCTGAATTTAAGTGCTCTGAAAGTCAGTCGACAGTGACTCAGAACCAGCCATCCCGTCACCAGCTCCAGGGGAGCTGAAAGAACAGCGGTCAGCCAAATTTTCTTAAGGTGGACGAACAAAACTGTAAAACAGATCATCACCTGTTTTACAATTTTGTTTGAAACTTTCTCTTTGCTGAAACTTTCACTATATCCTGACAGTAGAACATGAGACAGATCGCTCCTAATGGCATTTAACATACGTTTCAAGTTCAACTGTACAATAGGTGCCATCTAAGTGCACATCTTCCATAAGTCAAGTGACAGATATGTAATGCTACATTGCCGTTTGGTCTGGTGTTTTGGGTGGGGGGTATTTTTACCTTTTGTTGCTACAGTAACAGCCAGTATCTAATGCTGCTGTCTGATCAGTGAAGTAGTGAAAGGTCACTTTGTTGACCACAACCATAGGCTATCTGTTACATCAGACAAACAGAGGCATTTGTTGCTCACTACAATAAATCAAATTCAGCACTGAAGCCAGTCATGCAATCCAATTGGCAATATTTTATGTTCGTTTGAGTGTCAGAATATCAAGCACAGAACAAAGGTACTTCTCATGATTATGGAAACACACTTCCAACCATAGCTAATTTAGTAACTTTGGACATATCAATCAAGGACTGTCTCACACCATAAGGGCCCATTAACTGCTGCTGCTCTGCCACTGTGGCTCTGTTTTTTTGGGGGGTTTTTTTTGCTGCTGAGGTGGGAGGCAATAGAAAGCAGTGGCTAATACTCCTCAGTCAGACTAGTGAGTAGTGCTAATTGCAACCATACTCATTACGTGCCATTATCCCATTCAGAAGTCTAACAATGCTATCATGCAGATTTAGCAAAAAGCACAAACTCAGAAACTTTCCTCTTGTAAAAAAGGACATAAGGATCTAATGAATGCACTGATGCAGTAAGTGGAAGGGGGATGGCTTCTCTGGTTGCTTTGCTGTCTGAGAGAAGCTTTGTGTTGATGCTATGGCACTGGGACGTGGGAAAAGATACCAGAGATCTGCTGAGTAAGACTGTGTAAGTACAAGACATTACACAGCAGTAGCAGTCTGAAACTTTTACAGTGGTCTAATTATAGCACCTTTTACTATGTAATGTCAAGTGTGTAGAATTTAGTGGCATCTAGCAGTTTTGTTGCAGATTGCAGCTCTGCACTTGGAAGGAGAAGCTACATTTTAAAGTAATACAAAATAAAATACAAATTATTAAAGCAGCTTTTACTAGTACTTTTAAATTACACTTAGTTTTGTAACTTATTACTAGGTATTTTGTTTTTACAGTACAAAATAAAAATGGAAATGGAAAAATTAAGTCAGTGTCATTTAAAATTACTAAAGCTAGTAGCTAAATTGAGTTAGTTTTACTATATGTAGCGAGACAGACTGCAAGCATGTGGAAAATAAGAATGGATGTATCTAGACTACACCCCTGGCAATGATAAGCCATGAGTCTACAATGCAAATCCATTTTTTATGAATAAAACCTGGTAACATAGTGGAAAAACATAATCATATCAATTTTCATTTAAATGTGAATGCCTACCACTAGCTTCATTATTCTTAGTATGTTTTTTGTCTAGCTTGTTCATTGAAGTATTCCATTTTTAAATGTATGTAAAACCTCTTAAAGAACTGTATCTAGCCTTCCTAATGAGTGGCGTAGAACCACTATTTTACTCATTCAACCTCCAGCTGGTAAAAAGACAAGGAAAAAGAAAAAAAATGCAGGCCATGATTGTCTCCATCTCTATTATCCCTCTTCTATTTACACACAGCCTTGTGACATGATAATTTAATACTTTTGTATTATTGAAAAACACATAAAAGGATTGCTTGAGATTAATTTGCAAGTGAAATGACCACTTCAGACACGGCTCAGATGCCTGGTCAAGAGATTACATCTATTTATTTGCTTGCTAAATGTGACATGAATGAATGAGCGTTGTCAGACCACCATTCTCTCCAGTTATCTTTTTTTTTCTCCCATCTAACCTTTATTTTTGTCTCCATTTATGCCTTAACCCTTACACAAACACACAAAGAAAAATCACAGAACACCAACAGAACAAATGATCAGCTGAATTTAAGTGCACGTACATGGCAACATCCCCTGGAGGGGCTCAAATACGTGGAAGCTAAGCCCACATATTATATCAGATATCAGTACTGTACTACTGCTAGCATGGTTATAAAAAGCTATCATACCTAAACAATTACAAAGGCATCAAAATGATAGTGACAGATAAAGTTACATAATGTTGCTTTAAGGTTAATAGATTAGGAAAATATAGTCTTAATGATTAAAAGTAGGACTGTTGGTCAGAAACTATGGTAAATTATGGTCTCTATAGTGTCAGAGTCAGAGCCATCCACACTACCACCCCTTCATAACACAGATATAGCATTGCATGCTGGCACCACCTACTGAGCTGCAAAGGTTTAAAAGGGCTCAGCAGCACTATAGGGGAAGGTTGAGAAAGGCTAATCTGCAAAAAAGTTGAGATTTTCTCAACTTTCCCTTGTTGTGAAAAAAAAGCAAAGCGGGGCGGGGGCGGAAATG